TTTTTTGGGTTCCTTTGCTTGGCATCATTCATGGTTGGTGGAGTTCAAGGAGTAGGGGGGTAGATTAAAAGAAAAACATGTATTTTTTTTTGCCTGCCAGTCTACGTGGATAGCTTTTTATATATATATATATATATATATCTCTTTTGATATGGTAGATGACTAGCATTTTTCAGTATTGAAAAGACCTGTTGAAGAGTTATTCGGCATTCATGACTCGTGAGAGGCATTCACCTCCATGAAGGTTTCTGCAAAGAAGAAGTAAATGACTGAATTGGACAAACAGTATGATGGACGCATCGTCTATTTCACTTTACTTTAGAAACTGATAGCTAGTTTAAGCTGTTTTTCCCCTAGCCGGAATTACATGAGATTGAACAAGTGTAACTGTGTAGTCTATTATGTGATATCATGCCGGCGCATCATCATTTTGAGGCTCAAGGTAAAAGAGAAGTCTCCCAAAGTCAGTCTAAAGATGTGGATGCTCTAGTATATTATGACTCTCATCCATCTCCTCTCTCACTTTCCCTCGCTCTCACTCGCTCCAGGCAGCTTATAGTTACATCACCTTGTCGTTTCTTCCATGGTCACCGCTGAGGAGATATTGCGAATATGCCAATCGACATGGATCTGGCCAGAGTTGTAGTCCATGTCGCTCACATCGGAGTTCCTACACACTGACTATGAAAAGCGCGGCGAGATCGAAGCTTTGCTTTGTCTGGTCGGGGATCTTGTACGGCAAATGCCTAAGATGCGAATGCTTGTGCTTTGGAATGGCGGAAAGGAGCATGCCAGTATATTTATATATTGCGTGGATGGGGAGACTATCCATCTAACACATGGAGTGGGACATAAAACTTAGATATGAGCCTTTATATACTTGAATCATAGCAGAATGTTGCATCAACACTTCCATCTTGTAGGCTTGATACACGGAAAGAGCATGTTGAGGAGGCTATTAGATCCCATGGAGATGCCATTTATATCCAAAACTGCCTATCCAAGTCGTTGATCCTTCGTTCATTTGGCAGATACGGAGGGAAGCTGGGGGCTTTATGCGATATTAAGATATGGAAGCTTTGTTTAGTCTCTCTTTCTTTTAGTCTGATAATGAGGAAATGCGTGTATCGCATTAGCATCGAGTTGTTCATTCATAATTCGGCATAAACATTTTTATTAATGGTTGTATTTCGTATTATTGTATTTATGCATTTATAGATATGCCTAACATATTCCTATGTCATAATTCTGCCGAAGCTGCTTCATTTAAAGCATTTTTTCCCCCCTTGCTTTACACTTCCAGAAGACTTGTTCTCGGCGTTTGAACAGGCGTGCGTTCGTCAATTCTATCTCTGACCCAGTCCCATTTAGAAGCTGCAAATCCAATTACAATGAACAAAATCGATGTAGCTGCGGATACTGGGACTAGTAGACGTAAGTTATGGTCAGTTTTTTTTTTATCTCCAACACATTCTACATACAAGTATATTGATGTATAAAGTCAAATAAAGAGAGAGAAGGACAAAAGAAAAAAAGGACTATAGCTTTATTATTAAAGTTTTATAGTACTTACAAGTAATTCTCGACACAAAGTCCAATGTTAAGATGTTATTGCTGAACTCTTTAACGGGAATAGCGAAGAAGGCAGCGATGAAAGACAAGGGCAGCTATGAGACATTCCAAGTTAGAATGTGATAATGAATTCTTGTTGAAAGGGATATTGCAAACTCACGAAGACAATTGTAACAATTGTAAATACCATAAGCATTCTACCTTGCTTTTCAGATTCCATTGCCATTTTGTGGGATTGTTCGGCCTGAAGCCGTGCCGTTCGAGTGTCGATCATGTTACTCTGTTTCTGCTTTAAGTCAACGAGAGTAGTCAGCTATTGACAATATATTGTTAGCGTAGTTCCTTCATCTCAAAAAATTGGGACAAGCCCATGCTAAACACCAAAGTATCCATTTTCAATTTGTTAAAAAGAGGAAAAAAAAAAAAAAGAAAAGAAAGGACAAAGAAAATGTAAGACACACCGCCGAATTGGTATTCTTTGCTCGCTCATTCATTTTATTGATCTGGTCCGCAAATCGATCAACAGTACGAAGCGGAAGATTGCCTTTCTGATGGCGAAAATTCCATATTTCACTTTGAGCTTGATTCGTGAAATCTTTCCTCTTTTGCCTTTCTTTATCGAGGTGCCCTTGACGCTCGTATGCAAATAAATACTCGTCTCCAACAAAACTGCTTGAATCGTCTGTTATGTCTGAACCTACGGTATTTGACCATTCGTAGTCCTTTCGAAAGTCATGGATTATGTCGTCATTATCTCCTTCTGGCCCGAGATTATTAAGATCTTCTCGTAAGTTGCGTTTGGTGCTCGTGGCTCCCGCCTGTGTATCGTTACCAGGATCCATTTTCGACTGTATCATGGAGTGGATAATCCGATTCATGGCTTCGAGAGCTTCTTTTTGATCTGAAAATATTTTCCCCATCATTTCTAATTCATCTTGGATGTCTTTGATTTGTCTGAGGAGAGCGACCTCTCTGGATATATCAAGGACGTAAAACCGAGCCAACTTTTCAATCAGCCCAGTAACACGATCCTCCTCGCTTTCACATTTTATCCCTCGTCCTTTAATCTCGTTTTCATCTGGAATTTCTGTATGTCGAGTGTATTGGCGATATTTTAGACAGCACTGTTTTTTTTCCCCGACACTTTTTTTGCTGTGTTTCAGAGCCAATATTTCTTCCACGATACCAATTGCTGGACTGGGATCAGTCTTTCTTGTATCAACTTTCTCGTTTAGCTGTACTCTTATTTCTCTTGTACGAGTTTGCATCAGGTAATTAAACGTATTGAAGAGCAAAACTTCTTCATTCATCTACTCCAAATGAATTTGGACGGCGTCAGTAGGCATTTTCCAGATGAGGTTAGGGTATAATAGAGGATATGACGAACAATGTCACTGATGGAGTTTTCATAAACCTCTGCAAAGTCAAGCATATCAGTCGAGTGATCTAAAAGCGCTCTAGAACACCTGCTGGTAATAACGCCCGCAAGGTCATAAGGTGTTTTCACGGCGCTAGGTCTTTGTTGAATATAGGATTTGGTAGTCTGTAAAACGTCAGTGGTTCGTTGTGGGTCTAATCTCTCGAACCTTGACTCGGGCTCTTTCTGAATGTCGAACCAATCTCTGGACGGAAAACATGTTACGACTGCCTGAGCTTTTCCAGATGGGCCGAGAAGAATCCATAGCCAAAGCTGATCTACCATAATAACGGCGAACTCGCCCACCTCGTCTGGTCGTTTGCCTTCATTTAATTTCTCTTGATATCGGTGAACAGTTTGGTCACCATCTCTAACCGTCGTGTCTTTTAAATTATGGTATAGAGATTGATCCAAAGTCCGTCGAACATGGAGGACGTGGCGAGAACTTTTATTGAAGTCACTTTCAGACAGCAAATATTTTTCTAAGAGCAAAGATTCTCTTTTAGACAATTCCTTCAGAGTAGACTTATCGTTTTTTGTCTTATCGTTTGATAGTAATGCATCTTGAGACCCATTGACGGGAAGTATCACAGTGCTAGAGAGCGACTCTCCTGCAGAGTCCTTGGTTGAAGGCATCGCGATGCTAGAGGGGGGCGATACTTTTCGAGAGGATGGAGCAAGAAAGTTCGACCTTCTTTTCATTGCCATTTCCTCGTCCCAGTAGAGATAGGGCATCTATTTTTCATATTACGTCAGTTAATGCATCGGTAGCAATGAGTTTGGTTGATCGCAGTACTAACGAAAAGAACCACATGTCTGTCTCCATTTTGGTACGCAATCTCTGTGAAAATGGATGAGCTAAATATTTAACAGAATCTAGAAAATTAGAAAGTAAGTTCTTACTTTTCTTGCTCTTAAAGGCCTCTTGGAAATCATGGCATGCTGACATCATGAAACGTGCATGTGAGGAACCATCTTTTCCCTCGTGCTGTCTCTTCATCCATCGCTTTTGCTCTAGGACTTTATAAGCTAACGATGAATCTCGGTAGTAGATTTTGCTGATTAAAGCCTTTTTGTTATGTTAATTAGCAAATATGCTTTTGTCCTATTTATTAAAATATGCATGACTTACCTCAGCCCACTTCATCTATTAGGGAGCAATCAGTAAGAAAAGTAAATTGATTTGAAGCAATCAACCCATTATAAAGAGCGATGCAACTTACATTATTTGCAGGTAAATGAAACCATTTAAACTTAGACTCGTCTGTTAAGTCGAAGAAATCTTGATCTTTATGCATTAACTTATGCACACTAAGCTCAGTAAATTTCGGGGGTTGATCTTCTGAGAAATCAGCCACTGTTGCTTGGAAGAGCCTGTCGACGTGTGGATGTAAATCATTGTGTGTTGCCAACGTTTCGGTTCCTTTCTCTAGTTTAAGTAGCATAAGAGTAGTTGAATCTTTGTTTTTTTTTGCAATTCGAGTCAATTCCTCCTTTGATTCTCCTTCCATCAGCGTTTTGACCTGGAGTAGTGCTCGAATCGTGCTGTGCTGCTTATTCATTACAGCAGTAAGCAATGCATGATTTTGACTATCCGTAGCTCCTTGAAAAATAAGATACTTAGCAACCTTGGCTTTTCGTTTGGTTATTGCGCCCATAAGTGGGGTCATTTTGTTTTCATCTTCGCAGTTGACGTCTGCACCACAAGATTTCAAAGCCTGAACAAGATAAAGGTCCCCCTCCTCCGCTGCCTTTACTATCTTCGCGGTCAGCCATTTGTCTTGTTGAGCTTGTCCACCTTGCCTATCGCGGAGGTATTCGACTAATTTGCGGATTGTTACTGTTTGCTCATTGCGGACCGCTGATTGAATCTCTCGTTCAATATCGTCGTCATTGAGGTCGGGAACGACTTCAGGAATTTCGTCCGACTCAGTTGTCGCAGCTATTGCTATTGGATTTTCGAGATATTTGAGCCACTTAAGAAATAATATAAAAATGATTTCATCTTTACTGCGTGCTGCAGCTTCGAGAGGGGCGGGTCCCCTAGTAGTTCTTCTCCTGGCGCAAATGGAACCAGTTTGTTGCAGTGCCAGTCGGACTACTGGAGCCCAGCCATTTCGTGCTGCCCACGAAAACGGAGTCATGCCAAATGCATCCTCCATCTCAATTCCAAGTGGTAATTGATCGAGATATGCTTTAAACAATTCGATATATCCTAGCCCTGCTGTCCAACATAAGAGTTCGCGAAGCTTTTTCTCGTTGGGAGATGATGCCGTATAGGGGCGACTGGCACCGGTAAAAGCGCGCCGAAGCTGGTGAGTTCCATCTATAGTAGACAACGATACCGATACGTTGATGTTTGATGGATAAACGTTTGAAAGTACCATGAACCTGACATAATTGTCGCCCCAGTTGCCATAATTAATGGGCGGGCACATTTGGGCCTCGACTGCACCACCTTTCGGAGGCTCGAATTTGAGTGTAGGGAATTTTTTTGAGTCATTTAGTAGTTCTGCCATGTTGTTCTCAAGGTTAAAGTGGTTGGCTTCCACAGCTTGTATCTCAATGGGTACATGATATTCTTCTTCAATTTGAATCGTAAAATTTAAATTGAATTTGGGAGCGGATTCTTTCTGGACAAAGAATAGATTTGAAGAGTATGTGAAATCAAACGAAATTATAGCTCCACGCATTGGCCTGTCGTTGTGACATGGCGCGGTAGTTCTATCAACGATGTCGATACAACTGGTCAAGCTTGGTGGAGCGAGAATTCGAACACCGCGTGCATTCCTCAAAGAGCTCGCCTCGGCCATGGCGGATGATGTAATGACTGAATCAAGATATTGAGATGAAATAAGATAATGTTGATTCTACAATAATGCGTGTTATATATAGTCGATACGAGTATAAGCGTCGGAGAGCAGGTATAAGTGTATTTATTTTGGGCATTGTTACTGAGTACAGAAAGGACTATTATATGTTTTATAGACATAAATTGGATGCGCGGGATTTTGTTTTGGTGTAACCATTCCCAGATTATTTTGTCCAATAAAGGGAGGCTTCGGTGAGGCGACGATTTACAGCCACTGTCCACATATTGAACCGAGTGATAGCTCATCATAGGCTGAATAGTAGCGTTGCCGACAACTCATACGCATATGTAAGGCAAATGGTTCTATTATTCAAGCAATATGAAATGAATCCTTTGTCTAGACTGCCTTGTATAATCACCGTACAACATTTTGAGGATTATGTGGACTGTGTGCACAACATAGAGCTGAATAACAAGATTCCCACCATGTAATATACATGAATCCCTGTCTAAATTTAGCTACTAGTGCATTTGTTTTGCATGCTTTCACCGAGACGTATCATCGATGTTGGCTGAAAACAAGGGTCAAAATTATGATGACGAAATGGTCAAAGCAGACGTCGATGCAGACCTTTGTTCCTTTTGTAGGAAGAGAAAATTATCTACGGGAACAGAGAGGCATGGCAGCATAGCGGCCTTGAGAGCTACTATCGAGTCATCGACAAACTAACACCTAAGTGAAGAAAATAGGAGCCGCCTCCCCAATACTATACAGAGTCGTTTCGGGGCTGATCTTCGACACATTTAATCGCATACTAGCGGCAGAGACACGACTTGGGTAGCTACGAAGCATATGTGAATGTTGATAATAGCATTGTACAGACTCTCAGCCTCGGGTATCAACTTATTGCATGAGAGACAAGATGCGGTGCCTAAATTGCGAATAGCCATATTCTTACTAGAACCGTGTCGTACAAAAAAAAGGCTTTGTGCATGCTGCGAATACTCAGGCATAGGAAAGGGTGTTGGTTGCCTTCAGTCCAAGCTGGTTTTAGCCAGGTTCAATGCATGCACGATACGTGCAACAAACACGACTAGTACTACATATTGACAAAGTCACTTGAGATAGAGTACTAATAGCTCGGTATGAAATGGCCCTTGTTACTACGTTGATCTCTATCGACGGCCTTCTTGAGAGTTCGTATCTGTCACAGCCTTAATAGGAGCCTAGCCGTCATTTTCTTACTTCATGCCTTGTTAAAATTTGTTTCGGTGATGGATAATCCTGGCTTGCGTCGTGATACCACACAGTTTGCAAGCCTTCTTATAATAGCGGTAACTTCCCGAGAAAATGAATCTAGCGATTGTTCAGCTCGTGAGGAGCCGCCGCGGTGGCGGCGGAGTTAGCATGGATACCACCCTACCTGGACTATTCTATGGCTGACTGGCCGCCGAAAAGAGATAAGTCGGCGATACAATGCAAGCCACAGCCTTGCGTTTTCTGCCATGGCCACGATGTGCGACACTGATAGATAGGTGAGCTGCCCAGTTCCAGATTAAATGTTACCCATAAGATATTCCACATTTACGGCTGAAATCAATAGAGCCAATTATGGACGGCGATTAAGCAATAGAGAATACTGCAGAGGGCAACTACATGACTTTACGGGAATGCACTTCGGACAGGGCTGGGATACAGCGTAGGCCAATGAAGTGGCCGCATGCGAGATTGACTTGATGGTACTCAGGTATCTTCAGCTTGTTCTTTAAACTTTTCATGTATTTTCGGTGTCAGCTAAGCATTGATTCCAAGGCTAGTGTGTAATCCCTTTAACCCAATTTTTTAGATTGTCAATTATAGCAGACGGCGAATCCATTATAGATTGCCTCAAAAACTACGCAGCCAATGAGGGGTTTGAAGTAAGCGCGTATGTGTACTTTGTACGTACATACAATTGAACGAGGCTCGATCCTGATTGGAAACATTACCAAAACAAACAGGCATCATTCGACGTTGCAAGGTATGACGATTCAAGTCATAAAATGCTATAACAATAAGGATTAATGGCATTTCAACGCCGCCTTGACCTCAAAAGAGTAGTTGCTTATTTAAAACCACCCCATTTGGTTTCATAGTGGAACTTCTGAAAGCAGCTGGCATTGAATAGATACTGCTTTGGCGCTGGATGGCAAAGCAGCCTTGAAGTGTTAAATGGCGTCAGCGAAAAAATACTTTTGATACTCAATGCTTTATCTGCCTCTTTGTGTACCAATAGAGTACTAATAGAACTTTCCTCAGCACGAATCGAGAAATCATGTACATTCGCTTTTCAGCGTGGTTTTGTCGATACCGTGCGCAAGGCTTGCCACGCCTAACTGTATACAAGTAGAAGCTGGCTTATACTGAGATACTCCCAGCCTTTCACATCAGAGTTAAGCGTTATGTCGTATATCAGCACTGAGCAGATATTTCTCCGCAAAGCCCGACGCTAGCAAGTATAGCTGAGTGATATGTTATATAGAGCGAATCGTACAACTACAAGAAGAGCACTTAAGCAGCATTAAAGAGAAATGTACAGAAAAGCTTTGCAAACGCAGGCTGTCAATAAATATTTCTCAATATCTACCCTTGACCAGTTAAAGAGTGAGAAAGTTGCAAGCCCAATGCTGTACCCTAAAATTCAAGTGAGCATAGGTCACAGCTCCCTATTTATACTGACAAAGATTTTAATCCAAGCAGTGTTTTGTTTAGAATAGCGAATATAAGCGCCATACTTATTGCAGACCAATTGATAGTAGAGTAACACATTATTAACAAAGAAGGTAAAGGAATCGTAAGATAGTGCTTCCCACTATAACAGTACTTTTGACTATCAAACCCATTTTATAATATTCGCGGTTTGTAATTTATTATACTTACTGCTTATGGCTATTTATTTTGGTTTATTCCTTTATAAGTCTATAAAAGCTTCTGTTTACAAATAAGTTACGAAGTTATTAGTACCTTTTTTTTTTCCAGCTAGCTGGGTTCTAATAATACGGGATAGTTACAGGGATTCAGTATAGTATTTAACCCTCCCCCTTGCATATAATAATACCCATCACTAGCTCCTTGAGCGATTTTTCGGGTTTACAATACACTTTGCAGCTACACTAGGTTGCTGTCACAAGATGCCAAGTAGGAACCTAATACTCTAATGCAGTAACTTATGATGTGGTCAATGAAATGCCTTGACTAGTTATTAGCCAATGGAAAATCAGTAACAACTACAATATAAAGACAATCTAGCTGAATGGAAGGGAAATGTAGAAAACTAATATCCTCTAGTATGATAGCTTGCAAATAGCTTCAAAACTAACCAAGTTATTGAGGAGTGTTCATTTTCAATGAGTATAATCAGCAGCCTTAGGTACAGTAGACAGCAATGTCTTAGATTACTTGGTATGACTAGGGATGCGCTATCCATCCTGGTGTAATCATCCTCCAAAATTATCCTAAAAAGGATAGGGGTTAAGATACACTAACCTAGCCACCCTAACTTAACCCTAAGATATATACTACTATCACTAACTATTAACTCTAATATAATTACTAACCTTAATCTAACCGGCTATATAAAATAATAAAATATAAAATAATATTATATTAATTTTTAATTATATTTATTTAAAGTATATTTTTCTTTTGCAAGATTAGCTTATAATTTTGCATAGTGAATAGCGCATTCCTGTGTATAAATCCATTTGTTCCTTCGCTCACTAAAAGTGGAACCAACAAGTAGGTAGGTTTACTAGTGGACTTATTGCTTACAGTGGGATGCAGTAATTTTTTTTATTGATCCTTGTCAGGCTTTTAAAAAGTTATATCGCAATACTATAATTTTAGTTTAACTACAATAGGAGGGCAGCTGCTTGCTGTTTTTAGAATAAATCTAGTTACTATACTATAGCGCTTTACTCACCATAGCTTAGCTGCTAGTTCACTATATTATAGCAGTGTGCTGTAAAACAGCGTAATATATCTACCTATTTAAACAGACTAGTTTACACTTTCTGCCTGACAAGGATTGAAAAATCACTGCATCCCACTGTACATCGGAATTAGACCATTAGCTTAAATCTCACGGTCCGGACCGTTGTCCATGTATACCTAGTAGTCGGATATCCCATGAGAGAAGCCGGTGTAAGATGGCCGATAAAGGGCTTACATTCCTCCTTCTATCTTATCGGCTAAGGGGTGTAACGGGTTTCCGAAAACTCCGGATCTGGCTAACGGTTGACAGCTTACCCTCAGAGCCCCTTCTGAAGGCTGATGAAGGCTAATAATCACGGATCTAGCCGTTCGGGGAGCATGAATTAAGCGTTGATATTTCCCCGATGGGAATAGTGCTCTTTGGACTAAGCCAAGTCGTATTGTGCAGCAGGGGGTGCCCATCGGCATTTGAGCCACAATTACTGATATTTCCGAGTCTGGTATAGGATTGCACTGATTTCAATACATAATCATTATGATTGCCATGATTCCTCTGTCATCGTATGACAGTGCTGAGAGGAGTTACCGTTCAGGGGGGTGGGTGGGTCTCTGGGGGTTTCCGTCTGGACAATTGCGCTCTCTAGGAGTTATCTGGGGTCCGTGAGATCTTAAGGCGAGTATTGGCTTTGTTGAGATTGAGCAAGTCAGCCACAACTACTCAGGTATTTAAGAGGGAAGCCTCGGCTTGTGGGGCAGGATCTCTGTAAGGTGAGATGAGCTGCTGCGAGGAGGGCCAGTATATATTCCAGCCTTCCCACTAGTGTCTCTTCTCAACAATGCCAACGGTCCTCCTTTATGATATCCTAAGTTCACATAGAAAATCGTTATTCATTATTCGTTATGTCTAACACATTTGATGCCATTATCGTTGGCTGCGGTTTTGGGGGTGTTTATAATCTCTTTAAACTCAAGCAACTCGGCCTCTCTGTAAAGGCCTTCGATAAGGCTCCAGAGGTTGGTGGCACATGGTACTGGAATCAGTATCCCGGTGCTACCACTGATACTACCAGTGAAATATATAGGTACAGGGCTGACGAAGAGCTGCTAAATACATACCCATGGTCAACACGCTACCTAACTCAGAAAGAGAACCTACAGTACCTAAAACATTTTATCGAGAGTCATGACTTAGGGCAGCACATTCAGTTAAGTGCTGAGCTAAAAGCAGCCTCCTTTGATGCTGCTACATCTACATGGACTGTTACATTTAACTCTACTGGCGAGACTTATAAGACCACGTACCTTATATTGGCTACTGGGCATTTACATACGCCTAATTATCCCCAAATACAAGGCCTTGAGAAATTTGCTGGGCCTGTTTACCACACAGGGTAAGTTAAATTCATTGAATATTAACTTGAACCAGAATACTATGGCTGAGTTAACCTTCTCAGTGACTGGCCTGAGTATCGTGATCTCAAGGGCAAGAAAGTTGGTGTTATAGGCACAGGATCATCTGGAGCTCAGCTCTTGGTCAATATCGCAGACGAAGTTTCACATCTAGTTTCATTCCAGCGGTCGTCACAGCATGTGGTGCCTCACAATAATGGACCCATCTCAGCTGAGGAAAGAGAACGGGTCAATCAAAACTGGGATAAGATCTGGGAGACAGTCGACAATCATCCTATTGGACAGAACATAGTATTCAAGAGTACTCCGACTATGAGTGTCAGCGCAGAGGAGCGCGAGCGTATCTGGGAGGAACTCTGGAACGGAACAAATGGCGTCGCATTTATGTATGGACCTTTCGGGGACATTGTTACAAACGAAGAGGCCAACCGAGAGCTGTGCAAATTTTTCGAGAAGAAAATTGCCCAGTATATCTCTGACCCTGATAAGCGTAAGAAGCTAACGCCTACTGAACTCTATGTCAAGCGCCCTGTCACTATGTCTGGATATTATGAGACTTTTGCCAAGAAGCATGTTGACATTGTTAATTATCAATATACACCCCTCGTTGAAGTTAATGAAAGGGGTATCTTAACCACTGAGAAGCAGTGGGATCTGGACGTCATCATTCTGGCAACTGGTTATGAAGCTATGGACGGCAGCCTTAAACGAATCAACCCAACTGGCACGCACGGTACTCTGAAGGAGACCTGGGCTAACGGCTCAACTTCTTACCTCGGGCTTAGCGAAGTCGGATTCCCCAACATGTTCTTCTCCATCGGTCCTCAGTCACCAATTGCCAATATCCCTCCTGTGATTGAGGCTCAGGGCAACTTCATCGCGGGACTAATTGCGAAGGCAGAAGCCAAGAAGAAAGACAACGGCGACAACAAGACTATCCTTATCGAGGCCGAAGAACAAGCCAAGAAAGACTGGCTGAAGAAATGCCTCGAGATAGAAGACGGCAGTTTGATTAAAACTGTCAAGTCTTTCATCACCGGTGACTTTGTTGAAGGATCAAATGTGCCTGTTCATTCTTGGCTTGGTGGCTTCCACACCTACCAACGCTTCATTAAAGATATATCAGATACCGGATATGTGGGGTTCAAGCTTTCAAATTAGGCAGCGAGTTGAGGGAGAATACATCAAGATTTATAGAAACTGTATATAGCTACGCCTTTACCGATCAAAGTTGAATGATTCTACTTTATAGTATTTTGTATCGAAGTTATTTCACCTAATTATACATGAATACTAACGTTGTAAAGGGAAACTACAATAGTAGATTGATACTGTTCAAGAAAATTTCGGCCTGGATCACAGTGTAATCTTGCCTTGATGTACATTATATTTGGTGAAGTAAAGCGTTAGTAATATAAATATCTCATGAACGCCATTAGGTAATAAATTCATATGGTATACTACTTAGTTCGAGATATTTTGCTGCAGCAGTGCTGACGACTTTTTGCATGCATGTTACAACCTGGTCCCTTGCACCAGCTGAATCCTTCATAAGCATCTGGTTGCGTTACAGTAATTGCTACAATTGCGATTATTTGTTTAACCTTTTGCCCTGTTTGGCTTAACGGTATAAAGGATCGTTACAATGCAAGGGAAACAGCTGAGTAATACGTATGACATTCCTTTGTCAAATTAATTAGCGGATATCCCTGGTTATCAACTAGAAATGGTATTTAATAGTCAATTAGCTTTCAATAGGTAATACAAAGAGAAATCCTCTAGCTACGCGAATGAAATATACACAAGGATGCACTTTACTAATATTGAAGCTACTTATTAAACCAATATGCAAGCTAGGAAACAAAGAATTCACTTTGTAATTCTATGTAAGACTGCCTAAGGGTTGGTCTGTAGTGCATTACGTGACCCGTTGGTTCCAATTTTAGTAGCCAACGGGTAACCCATAAAGCAGGCTACTTCTGCATCTATGTGTGTACATCCATTTAATTAACCTTGTTATTGTCCTATATCAGCAAAAAGCAGGCCCTGGGTAAAGTAGCTACCATAGAGACTTTAGTATCAGGAAGCAAAATTAAACAGACGCTCGCAATTCTAAGTCTCGACTACTTGAATAAGAGATGCGATATGCTGTCTAAAGTCGTGTTAGTCTTTTTTTATTATTATTCCTACAGTACTTAGTAATATCTAGGAGCGCATCATACATTATACTTGTCATCAGAAGTGGCATGTTACATGCTGCGAATGCTCGGGGAAACGGAAAAGTGCTGGCTACATTTGAGCTAAGCAATTCCGTATGTAGTTTATCATCGGTAAGATGCTAGAGATAGAATAATCGCTGCTTGGTGCAAAGCAGCTATGCGAGCTGATATTCTCTCAAGCGTGGATGTGGATGAGAGCTCAGTGGCTATTGGGACATTATTCTTGATGAGTTGCTAAATTGTGCTTACTATTAGTAAGTCCTGACATGCGCCGCGTGGTTCCGCGGCGCATGTCAGGACTTATACAGCTGCTGCAGTACCTCATGAGAAAACAAACGAGATTATTTATCTTGAATGGGTATGTTGCAGTGGTGGTGGAGTCAGCATGGATTAATCCTCCCCTTCTTGGATATTTTGCTGTACGGCTGATTGGCCACTGAAAAGAGATATCACGAGCCGGCGATGCACTGCAGGTTACATCCTTGCGTTTTCGGCCAACGCTATGTACAACGTCTTTATAATAACTATTATTGATTTACGGAGGAGTGTGTTAGAGCTAATCAGGGGACGGCAATATGGCCATAGCAGGATATACCCTACTATGGATAGCTATCACTATAAGAGTACACATTAGAAGAATTCTTGGACGCGTAAAAGTGGGTGAAAATGGTTATAAGGCTAAATCATCTTCATGAATTTTGCTCACTCAACCAAAATTTAACCTAAGTTCGAGCTGTCCGGTAGTAATGTTGAGAAAGAAAGCATACCAGAAAATACTTATAGATGAGTAAAATTTTAAATTATGATATTTCCCCTGAACCCTTTTCTCTATACTCTTTTGTCCCTAGTCTACAATCTATAGTTCATAATCTAATTATAGGTCGAACAAGTCATTATCCATGGCTTATTCCAGCTTCTTAAAGCCCAGTCTCTCCCAGTTCCTGACAACCTTATCCTGAATGTTCTTGGGATAAGAGCTCTTAAAGTCAGCAGCCTCCCAGTCCTTGCCAGTGGTATACTCTGCAGTAAGGAGAGCGTCGCTAACAACCTTGCCGCCCTTGGAAGCATCCGCATTACCGTGGCTCATGTACGGAATAAGCTGGAATCCAAGGACGTCCTCGAAGAACACCTCATCTGTGCCAGGGCGGCAACGAGTTGTAAAGGCCCACATGACATCTTTGTCATCATAGACGTCAATGTCATCGCCGACGAGAATGAGACGGTGGATGGTATAGCCGGGCTTCTGGGCAAAGACAACATCGCCGACCTGTTTGGCAAAGGCTCTACCATTGGTCTTCATAGCTCGGAGGCGCTCGGTGTCGACCTTGAGGGCGACCCAGGTGGCTTGGCCGGTGAAGGGAGCGAAAGCATCGGTGATGGGAAGGCCGGCCCCCTGGCAGAGCTGGCGGATCTCCGCAGCCGCAAGGGATCCAATCATAGTTTGCTAGACGTAATAGGTCAATTTCCAAGCCTTGATAGCTGCAGATGGTTTGAAAAAACTTACAGTCTCATCCGTCAGACGGCCGCAAGCACTTATGGGCATGATGGCATTGTTGCGGTACGTAATCTTGTTGACTGTGTACACAGGTCCTGGGTGGCTATCTCCTGGGAAAACATAGCCGTGCATCTCTCCAAAGGGTCCTTCAGGCGCCATCTTGGTCGTAGAAAGAGTGCCCTCGAGAACGATCTCCGAATTGGCCGGAACATAGAGGTTGTTGGTGTCGCACTTGACCAACTTGATGGGCTCGCCAGCGATAGCTCCCACGTATCCGGCTTCACTGACTCCATCAGGGATAGGCATCGACGAGACCATGATGGCGGTAGGAGGGACACCAAAGGCGAGTGCCCAGGGTATCTCCTCTTGACCAACCGCGCGCCATTGATCTTGGATTCTCCGAATATGCTGGGGTTTGATAACAAGGCCGGCCATTGTCCTCTTTCCATTTACCATGGCCCGGGCAATTGACCAGTTGGTCCAGCTACCGTCAGGGGACTGAATGACGTGCATTCCATAAGTCTGGATGTATTTGCCGCCATCTGACTGATGGAGCATAGGCACTGGAAGAGCCTCCAGATCGATATCATCCCCTTCAATAGAGTTCTCCTTGATAGGTCCGGTGGGCACAATAACTGGCTCAATAGGAGGGATGCTGTGAGCAGAGAGCATCTTGTCGAAAATCTCCTTGGCAGAGGCAGTAGGAGGTAGGGCCAAGTGTCGTGCAAGACGGCCAAATCTCTCCTTGGGAGAGCTGCGCAGAGAATTTGGCGCTCCTAGGATTCGCCAGAGGCCATCCTTGGCTCCAATAACATTGTTGAATAGAGGGGCCTTGTCGTCGGTTTCGCAAACGAGGCGAGTGATTGCTGCAGCCTCCAGATCCGGATTGATAGGCTCGTTGATATCCACAAGGTCTTTGTCCTGGCGGAGGGCTTCGACGAAGGAGCGAAAGCTCAGATGAGGAGGTTCGGGATCTGAAGCTTCAGGCTTTAGAGCAGTTGAAGGTATGATAGCTTCTTGAAACTGGGCATCAGTAGCAGCAGGCATGACGAAGTTTTGAGTAGAAAGTATAGATATTATATCTGCTTCGAACTGATGCTTTTTGAACAAGTTTGCTGTGACTGGGCAGTGTTTATAGTTGAGTGAAATCTCACAGATGTTGAGAGTTGTTTGAATGCTATGGCTATATGAATTGTGTTCCTGATAACGGCCAAAGAGGCCAATATATACTCCCATCTCTTCGTATATACTTGAAGCTCGCCGAGCTGTTGTTCGGCCCGGAACTCCCAGGTAACGTCATGTCAATTTCTCCCTTCGCTTGCATCGCTTGCTTCGCTTCTCTCAAGGTCCTTGGGTGTGAATATCGTGATGGAATTTCCAGAAAACCTCCTGATGGCATGATGCTGTGGCGCTGCGCCGAGGTTCCGTGCTATGATTAGGCGTGTCGCTCTGCCGTGTTGCTCTGCCGGGTCGCTCTCGGGCGCTAAAATACCAGCAAAAATGCCAGAGCTTTCGATATTGTCCGAGCCTCCGAGATGCCGCCATAGCCATCGCAAAGGCAGGTTTTGGACCTCTGAGCATGAAGTTTACTCAGTTAGCAAGTTCTATGAATCAATTAATTCTCATACTCTCGGAGCATGAACAGAAGCTATAGCCGAGGTGTATTCAACTTGGCTAAGATCACAATATCTTCCACTTTATGTCTCGCCCTTTCCATTATGATGTAATTCAGCCATACCACTAAGTGCATGCACCAGTAAATGGATGTCTATCATGTTAATAAAGCAATGCGTCCTTTCTTTTAGGAAATTACAGCATTATCTCCTTTCAAGAAAGAGAGCATATGGATTGATTTTCCGATATGCCTATTTCGTGCTATGCCCTGAAATAGTCTGCAGCCGGATAGCCTTTGGCCATACCAGTTGATTCTAACACCAAATACTGACTGGCGGCATCCAAAGTTATCCACCAGCGTGCCGAAAGCTCCGAGTTCTAGAAAAGTTGAAGTTTACTGGATCTCGATAGATAAACTTCAATCTTGACAATCGAGCTGAACAGCTCATCGAGTCAATCGATTGCCACTTTCCCTGGTGGCGTGTTAGTCGATACACTTTTGGTACAAGCAAATTATTCGTGATACTCGATCATAGCTAGGGTCCAGATATGTTAGCAAAGGAAATTCGCAGAATCACACGAATACTACTACTTTGGTTAGTCGAGCTTAGATAAAATCTTCTATCATTGTTACGAGAAATGAGTAGGGGAATTGTAATTTTTTTTTGTTTTGGTTCACTCATTTGAGAATCTTATCATTCCCTTTGTTCAATGCCTCTTTATCCCTATACTTCTCTACTTCTCTATCTTACACCTACCTTTTCTCCACCTCTGCTTTCTCCCATTACTATTCTCTTGATTGCTGGGATGCTAGATTTACTACTAACCACTTTTTTTTTTTTTTTTAGCGGCAACAAACTATATGTTACTCTCCCCAATATATAAAAGCAGATTTCGAGAATGGAAGAGCAATCTGAAGTTCTAGGTTCAAAAACTACTTAACTAGTCGCAGATTACTCTCTTTTCGATTACAACCTGTTAGGGCTGGTTTCGAGCTACAATATGCGATCGCTTTCACCTCATTTACCGCCTAAAATCTTACATTTCTCCTATAATAGCGAACGTTAGGGGGATATAAAAGGCCATAGTAGATCTGTTACATCCATTAGCGGCTCGTGCGAGGTTTTCGACGCCCGCTGTACAATGAAGGTGCGGGATGACTTCCCCGCTCTATAGCCAGAACCAGTTCCATTAAAGTAAATATCCTCCTTCTCCGTTAAATTTTCTTGGCAATTTGTTCAAAACGCTTTCTCAGTTTTATATAACGTTACAATGGTACACGTCGCTGTCACAGGAGGAACTGGACACGTTGGTCGGGCAATTGTCCAGGGGCTGGTTGATTCGCAAGAGCATCAAGTTTTCGTCTTTACGCGAAAGGTGAGCCACATCCTCATGATAGTACTACCCCTCATAAATCGCTAACCATTCATCAGGCGACATCAGTATTCGATCACCTTCAAGCCGTGAAAATCATCGTCATCTCCTATGATGACCAAGATGAGATTCAGAATGTCTTGGACAAGCACAAAATCGAAGTTGTTCTGTCGACAATATCACCAGCCAGCTCCGAAGCTTTTGATGCCCAAGTAAGACTGATCAGAGCATGCGACAAGTCGGAGTCCGTCAAGAGATTCGCCCCAAGCGAATATTTGATCGACTATGAAAGAGATGAAGAGTAGGCTACAGCTATATTTATCATCATTTTGCACGCACACCAAAGATGGCTAACTTAACCCTGGCAGATACCAACGCTTCATGCCAATGCTGGCTTTTCAGCGAAACATTGTAAAGGAGTTGCGCAGGCACCCAAATCTTGAATGGACGCTTTTTCACAATGGCTACTTTATGGATTATTTTGGACAGCCATGGGCCCCTACGACGATGCCATCCGAAGTGCCATTTGTCGATATTGAAGCTTGCCAAGCAACCATCCCTGGCAGCGGTGACGACCAAGTGGTATGGACACACACAACCGACGTAGCCAAATTCGTCAGCCGCGCAATCTCCATGAAGATAGGCACATGGAAAGAGCATTCTTGGATCATTGGCGATAAAGCCTCTCTCCACGAGATCCTGCGAGCAGCAGAAAAAGCTCGAGGGGTCAAGTTCCGCGTTGCGTACGATTCGGTTGAGAAGCTGAAAGGTGGCGAGGTGACGCCGATTCCAGGAAACAAGGCTCATGCTGCGCTTTATAGCACGCCGGAATTTGATGCTTATCCGCTTGTGCTCGCCATGTTTGCCGGTATAGGGATGGCAATTGTTTCTGGCCATCTGGACGTTCCTGAGGGAGAATCTTTGAATGCGGAATTTCCGGATATCAAAACAACCAAGGTTGTGGAGTTTATTAAGAAATACTGGAGTGGTAGACATCCATGAGAGAAATCACTTGCAATGAATTGTTACAAAGCAAGAGATCTTTTACTCTAACTTATAACAATTGTATATACATACTTATATAAACAGCTTTATAGCGCTCTAAGTGAGAAAATCAGCCACGATTGAGATGTATTTCTCAGGCTGCTCCAAATAAGCGACATGCGCAACATTGCTCATTACAACCCACTTGACCTTTTCAATATTTGTGAAAAACGGCCTCATCACCTCATCTGTAGCTTCATCGTACTCGCCATTGATAAGAAGAGTAGGAACCTTGATCTTGTGAAGCTGGGGCCGCAAGTCATAGTCTACTTCAAGTTAATAAAGAAGACACAACAGAATTCCCTCTCTGCTCATATATGTTAACTTACCTTTTAAGCCGCCAGTTACTGTAACTTCTGATGGTCCCCACATTGTGAAATAGACCGTGTCGTCCTTACCCGCCTCAGCGAATGCATTATTCAATGCTTCCGGCCACGGAGACGTCCTGCACACGAATTGCTGGTAGTACGCATTAATCGCCTCCTGGTACGCCGCAGACTGGTAGTCCCTTTCACGCTCTCCCTTCTCGATGGCGTCTTGCACCGACTGAGGCATCTGCTTCAACAATGCACGCTGCGCCACCTCCCACTGGCTGGAACATGACAGTCCGCTTGCCAGGATCAGCCTCCGCAGGTGTCGCACAAACGGGCGGTCCGTGGAGGCGACCTGAGCTGCCAGAAGAGCGCCCCATGAATGCCCGTACAAGTCAAAAGTCGTGACCCCAAGTTCTCCAAGCAAGTTTTCCAGCTCATCCACAAACAACTTGGGAGTCCAAAGCGATGTGTCCAGTCGCGTCTGTCGGAAATGCGTGCTCTTGCCGCAGCCAACCTGGTCATATACAATCACGGGGTTGCCACTCTGAGCTGCATATTTGTCAAAGACGTCTGAGAAGATGATGCTCGGGATGCCAGGGCCGCCATGAAGAAGAATCAGCGGAGTGCTGTCGGGCTGGAGGTTGCCAACAATTCGATACCAAGTCTCAGCAGAGCCTCCAGGCAGAGACGAATGGCGGAACTGGACCGTTCCTTCGGTTGACCCTAATGAGGCCATTTTCTAAACACTGAGAATCGAGGATGATATTAAAGACTATGACTACAAGGCAAACAGTGAGCGACTGGAACTAAGCAGGATTTATTGAACTTGGAGCCCCGTCTTCTCTTCTATGTATTGCCTGGGGTTGAAGTAGAGCCAAGTGCGGGGGCCAAGCTTACAACCCTCGTCTTTCAGCGGGGTTGTTGTCAGATCTAAGGTGGACAGGCTCGGCTGCGAATCTAGCCAAGGAATCAGATTATAGTAGTATTACGACTAGTCAATAGTTGTTGTTCGCCATCTACACAGTATAGCAATACATCCACCATCGATTCTTACCGAATATGTCAACGAAAACCATGAACACCCCTTTCATCAGTTATAGGTCACTAGCAGAGACGAGTAGAAGCTAGTTCAAGGCAGAAAATGGAGTTGTCGTCGAGATATCCAAAATCTCAATGTTGTCATTATTCCATTAGGCCCAATCAATTCCCAATCTTACAAATAGCCCTTTTCTCCTATCCTTGTCACTATCTACACATGCAGAGGTCCAAAAATGCCATGACCTTTTCTAGTCCAAAAAACGCCGTTATCGTCCATGATGCTGCGCTTGTATGAAATGAGTTTCCATCCATCCACCATTACGGTCTTATCAACCAGTGGAGCCATTATATCCAACATCTCCGTTTCATCAGCTAGAAGAAGGAGGGGGAAAAAACAACAACAGAAATTATACAGTCCAATGTTATGAGTTTTGTCTTAAAGAAATGCCCCTTAATACTTGATGTCCCAGCATAGACGCCAACACGGCCGCGCCATGCTGGAAAACGTCTCCCTGGTCGGTCCATAGCTGCCATCCGGTCCAACAAAGAGCACTTAGCTCGCCCACACTTGTAACTGAAGCGATAAACATGGCTAGGCCAGACGAATTGGAGTCACCGCCCAAGAGTTGCTGGGTAGCTCCTCCAATGCTTCGAATAGCGATAATACCAGCAATAGACAATATTGTGAGTTGTGCTTCTTTGCAATAAGGAACGGTGGCGATCAATGGGATGAACCAAAGTAAAAACATAGTGACCAAGAAATAGAGGTCGTATTTATGAGAGGATTGCCCGCTAGAGAGAATGGGAAGTTCTTCGTTAACGACAGTTTCTTCCGAATCAGATTCTTCATCCGCATCGTTTGCAAAAGTAAAGCTCTGGCCAAGAGCATCAGCAAGTGCATCCGTATCATCGGGATCTTCCGGTGCAAAGAAACTAGGGCCTTTAAAGTCCACGCTGCTCGCTCTAGACGGCTCTTCTCGCATTTCGTCCAGCCGGTGCTTTCCAAACCCGAAATCTCCTTCCTCTCTTCTTGGTTCTGAGAACGCTCTATTAAATAGTGGAGCACTTGGAAGATTGCGGAGCCTCTGTGCTGGGTTTGTTGGTGCGGCTGGTACCTTGAACCAAAAGGGTCCAGCATCGGGTTGTGTAGGAGATTGACCAAACGGGCGTGCGCCAAGCTTAGATGGCACAGGGGAGTCTTGAAAGGCACGGTATTGGGATCTTTGCAATTGTTTTGGTACAGGGGACCAATCCATCGCGTCAGGGTCTTGTGATCGAAGGCCTTTCTGAGGGGACTTGTCTGATATGCTGAAGCCAGCAAAAGAAAGCTCATCATGAGTCGTCCGAAATGGGTTTGCGGCACGAGAAGGCGGTAATAGCTCTTGGAATCGCCGCGGTGCGAATTCTTTGGTTGGAGATGAAGTTGCTGAGTCGATTTCAAAGGCCCTTGATGGCATAGGTCTTTTAATGGGTGAAGGATCTATCGATTCCCAAGCTCTTGCTGGAGTGGGTTTCTTCATCGTCATTGGTGAAGAGTTTGCCGATTCGAGGGCCTCGGTGAGTGCTTCAGCTAGCGTCTTTGGTTCTCTAATCTTCTTTCTAGGTGTCGGTTTAGGCATCTGGCTCGCAGACACTGTTTTCTCAGTCACGCCGAATAAGGGCGTCGTATCTACCTTGATAGACTTTCTCGCAAGCGAGTAGATCTGAAATTGAACTCGGTTTAGATGATGTACCTCGCGATATCAGAATACACAAACGAATATTATCACTTACCAGTCCCATAATGCAGGCCATTGCGAAATGCGCGCTGATTTGCGCCCTGTCGGACTGAGCTTGACCACCCTGCATATGGAGAACAGAGCGGAAGATGTATCGAAAGAAGATGATGAGCCCCTGAAAGCAATACCACTGCGTGAATCCCAATAGATGCCGGGTAAAGCCGCGATTAAGTTGCACAAAGTGCGGATTCCACCAAGCCGAAAGAAATCCGGTATTTATACTGCATCTAATCAGGGTATCGGCCGCCGGCAAGAAGCCACGCAGGTAGCTAAGCCAAGAAATCATCCCCTTGGTGGCGCTCTCATCGTCCGGGTCAACCATGCCGTCCTTGCTCGTCGCTTGCGCTTCCAAGACGTATGATACGCTCACCAGATGCCAAGCAATCTGAATAACCAAGCCACCCCACCATAACCACCGTCCCATGGCGTTTGCCACATCAAGGGATGTCATTCTCTTGGGGACTCTTCTGCCTCTGCTCTTTTCCATCATCCGCCTCAGATGGTCTGTTTTGGCCGTATAACCAGCCTGGTTTATGCGATCTTCCACTCGCTTGGCGCAGTCTGAACAAACTTGGGGATAGCGCTTCTCCAAGTCTTTGCGGTATCGATAGTATTTGCGCTCGAGCTCGGCATAGTCTGGATGAGAAGGATCGTCGGGGAGGTACTGCGCCAACGATGCTGTAAATAACCGTTGGTTCTTGAGGCATTTTTCGCAAAAGATGCTGTCTGTGGGTGATGCAGGCCGGGAAGGCAACTGTTTGGCGAATTGCTTCGGAGTTGACGATTCAAGGGCAGGCGGATCCGTGATGTCGCCATTCTAATTTCGCAAGACTCTGTCAGTATCAAATATCAAATCCATGCACATCAAGAGAAAAGAGGTGTTCGCGGACCTCGTCCAGGTAGTTTGTGGCCTCGCAGTAAGTGCATAGAAAGTCGCGTATCCGTCCGTCGTATCTGATCGATGACCGCTTCCCGCAGTAGAAGCAGGCCAGAAGCCTCCCCCTCATGCGCATCATGATGAGCCCTGCCCTGCCGCTGGGATGCTCGAAAATAGCTGCAGGACAATCGACAGGCTGTGTGATGACGGCCGGCGGGAGTGACGGCGATGGGATTGGCAGAGCTGCAGCCGCAGAAACGAAGCGACTCGATGCTTTTTTTGGAGTTTCTGGAAAGTCTGGCGATTCTGCCAGGCGGTCAGCGCAATAACAGTCGCGGCAGCAGCAGATTCCAGCGGCCCACCAGCGCTAAGACCAAGCCGGAGGGCCCTGGAGCGGCCACGGCCCCGCTAAATCTGCAACTGCCATGAACGGTGACGACGTCGGATCGTCCTCCATCATAAGCGAAGCCGAACCATCTCATTCGCTGCTTCGAACAACCCGCTGGCTTCCACTGCATCTACGGCTTTTCATATATTTCAAGTTTTAAGCTGTCTTGTATAATCTAGGAACCATTTTGCTTGGATTATAAAGCGCATCGCCAACCGATATGCTCCCAACATGGCAGCCTTAGCGCCCGCATTGCCGCTGACACCAGCATCTTCAACCACATCTCTGCCGTATCATCTCACCATCCGCTTCTCCAACTCGCTACCAGACCTGGACCTAGACATCCCATCTCCACAGACTACAACTGTCCTCTCTCTCAAGAACCTGATAAGAGAACGTCTCGCCTCGCGGAATCGCCTTCGCTTCATCCATCAGGGCCGCCTCCTTCCAGATGCTTCAGCCCTCGGTTCTGTCATCAAACCGCCTCCTCCACCGCCATCATCATCAGTATCACATCACAACGACTCAAAGAGCTCGTATAAAGGAAAGGGTAAAGCCACGGATCATGGCCTGGCCCCCGTGAGGATATACGTCAATTGCTCCATCGGCGATGAGCTATCCCCTGAAGAACTCGCCGAGGAGCAAGCTGCTGCTGCCAAGCCCCCGGATGAATCAAGTACGGCCTCGTCTCAGCAAGCCGGGCATCCCTCATCATGGACGCGCCCTCGTCCGCGAGGCTTCGATCGTCTCCTCCAGACAGGCTTCACACAGTCGGAAATCGAGACGTTGCGCACGCAGTTTGCTCTGATCCGCACAGAGGGCTTCGCACCAGACGCTATGCCCTCGCCAGACACGTTGCGCAACATGGAAGACGCATGGATCGACAACAACGCTGGAGGACTCCCGTCTGCGAATGCTTCCACAGAAGATGATTTGAACGGCATGTCTAATGTGCTTGACGTCATGATCCGCGCCATGTTGATAGGCTTTTTCTTTCCGCTGGGGAGCCTGGCATGGCTGCTTCGCTCGAATGTATGGAGCGAGAAATGGCAGGTTTTTGTAGGTTCTGGAGTTGCACTTAGTTTAACGGTTGGAATTGTCATGAGCCTTTCTACTATGAATCACTGATTGTGTAAAATCTGGAGCAGCGTTTTACTTTATCTTTTGGTTTTATGAGCGCGTCTTTTGGAAATGGAAATTTACAGTCATCATGATGACCACTTTTTGACCTTTTATGCTATTTGACACAGTTTTTTAACCCCCACCCAGTCTCGTTATTCCTGACCTGCCTCGGCTCATTCATCCGCAGCTTAGTTGTATCTTATTGCGCCACCTAGAGCTACTATGTAATGCTCTAGTGACTTGTATTTAATTACACATAAGATATCCAAGTTACACAACTATCATGAGACACGTGAAAGTAAAACTTTGAAGACATATCGTTTCTCACGTGGGATTCGTATGTTGAAGGAAGAGTTGTCCGTCTAGAGCCCAACTACCGCTATATACTTTTATACTAAAATGCTTTTCAAAACCCAAACTCTTTCTCTATGAATTAATCATATACTCAGATATTAATTACGTCGAAGTCGTCTCTCATAATATTGTCATGGCTCTCTTCATGACTTCTCTTTCACCTCAGTCTCCTGCTGAATAGCCGCCTCTTCGTCAGGTGGATTCTCTGTGGCAGATGATACCTGAGTGGCCTCAGCCTCTCTTTGCTTCAGCCTTTTCGCTCTCACTTCCCAGCCGCCACTCCAGCCTATCCAACCTTTCTCATGCGGTCCTCGAAGGAGAATAATAACCAAACTCCCACCTACAAGACCGATGGAGAGAGCACCGCTGCGAATCCATCCGCCGTCCGCATACAGCTTGTTTCCTACTGCCGTTCCAAAAAGCTGGCCGCAGAAAGTGAACACCATGTAGACTGAGTTGACGGTGTTCTGCGCAGTAGGTTCGACATGTGCAAACAACATGCGGTTGGACACAGTTGTAATGTTGCTACCCAGGTCTCCTATGCAGGCCCAAATTATGGGTCCTGCTAGCGAAAATGTGCCAGTAAACGTTCCTATGCAAGCAGCTGTGATCAAAATCAATTGCCCTATGATCAAGGAGGCGCTTGGATGAAGATGTATCATCACATAGCGAGAGAATAGGGGGCTGAATACAATCGGCGACATGCCAACCAAGGCAAAAAGACCAATGACAAGAGTCGACAGATGGAAAGTAGGGCCAGCCAGCTGAAACGTCAAAGTGGTCCAGAAGGAAGTGAACATGCCCATGTTCAGAAAGGCAACCAGTGACGACTGTGTCAACACGGGATATTGGAAAGGCAACTGTACCATCTTGAGAAGGACGCCGGGATACGACCCACCAGGCCGTAAGATAGGAAAATCAGGCATGAACAGAAAGACGAGAAGGATAATCGCAAGCTGCAAGCCAAATGACACCCAGTACATGACGCGCCAACCCGCGTACTGAGTCACAATGCCGGAAAACAAACGAGCGACCAGGATCCCAAATACAAGCCCGGACATTACAATGGCGGTCATCGTGGCTCGATGGCGGGCGGGAGCATAGCGCACCGTCAAGGGAAACATGAGTTGCGGCGTGACGGTGAAGAGGCCAACAACGAATGATAAGCCGAGGAAGACTTCGAATTTTTTCGTTAGGCAACAGCCAAGCCACTGATGTTCAAACTATCAGTTACCAAATTCTATACCATCAAAGGAATCGCAACTTACAATCATGGACGTCACAAACACTAAGCTGATAATCATCGGCCGACGAGGCACAAGATCTCCAACGGGCACGATGAAGAGCAAGCCAGCGGCATAGCCAGTCTGAAGCAGCGTTGGAACGAGTGAGGCACGCTCTTCTGAAATATCAAAATCCTCCGATAAGACATGGAGAATCGGATGGGTATAATAGAGATTGGCGACACTAAACGCAGCCACCTAGAATTATCCATGAGCATCACCATTGCAACTGATTAAAGGGGCACATGAGTCGTACAAATCCAAACAGGCATGTCAAAGCCCAAGTCATTTCGAAGTTTCCTTCTGGATTCCATCTCACCCATGGCGGTGTCCAAAAGAGCTTTGAGGGTCTTGTTGAAGGCTTTGCGCCCACCGCGCTTTTGTTGACCACCACGGCCATCGTGACGTATTTTGACGGGTTTCAAACTCCCAAACCGCGGCCTCTATTTGCTGCAGGCCTAATGACCTCAGCTTCTTGATTCCGCCCTACCTCTATTTATAAAAAAAAAAAAAAAATAAAAAAAAATAGATTGTCTGTGCAAAAGGCACCGAAGAAATATTCGGCCGTTGTCACGGCACAAGCCCTTCGGCTCTTGTCAAGTCGTCGCGAGGGGGCATAAGACTTAGTAGCTTATCTCCGCGAGTTTCTTCGGCGATGCATTTGTCAGCCCTATCAAGTACCCGTTCACTCTCTTCCAAAGCTACTAGAAACCTCTCAACTAGGTGATAGCGTCAAAAACAAAAAGTGCAAGTTTCGACAGCGTAGGGCTCCAGATAGGATTTAAAATAGAAACTCTGTTTGATGGATTTCTTGATCGTTTTCCGCTTTGGGAAATAATCGATAGGGTGACTAAGGCGCAATTAGTCTTTGCACAGCTTTTGCTAGGTCAGTTCCGGTGTAGTTGGATAGAATACGCGTGTGGAAGAGATCTATTTTCATATTTGATTATGCTCACCGTAGGTAAGCCGAATGGCAGCCTTTTCTCTCCCTCTCTCTCGAGTTTGCACATGACTCGAATCTAATTGACCAGGAAGCTATTTGTGACCAATAATATTTGCTATTCAACTTTTAATAGCTATAACTAATTTTATCCCGATATGGCGTTTGAGATGGCTTATCTAACTATGAGATAAGCCATTTAAGCGGTCTGCCAAAAAAAAAAAAAAAAAAAAATCGAACCAGTGAATATACACATACATAAGGATAATACTATGTAAGACACTAGGTAATTCAAAAACCTTTACCCCGTAGACCTTTTAGAATGCGCGCTGAGCGTATTTTTGTGTGTTGATGATTTCACCAGTCTCGACGTTTGCAATCCACTTCAGTAATGGCTATCGTTTCGTTATCTAACGATGGGCAATTATCTCCGAGACTAAAGCAATGGAGATGCAACTCAATGGAATGCGGCTATCCAATGGTGCTTCTACGGAGTAATCGTACTCATATTGCGGAACAACGTTGATACACCTATGATATTTCACGCTTGAAGAATACTGCTAATCATACAAATACTACGGGTGACTACAAGCCCTTTTGCCAATAGAGGCGTTTTTGCACCAGTTGATAATCTAGTCACCAGCCTCATAACATCTACGTTTAGCAGCTATTCGTCGAAACAGCCCAAAGCACTTTATCAATCTGTATGGCACATCTGTTATAGCGTCTTTCAATTGCTCAAGTCTCAAGCCAAAGCTCAATCCAGCACATTACGGAGTACGCAGACAATACAATCACGACCCTAGCCAAAACAATGGCATTGTAGTTGCCACCTAGCAGCTGAATACAGCAGAATTGCATCGGTAGGCCTCAGTACGTATGCATACGATTCCTAGTAGCAGTATAGAAGTAAGTAGTAGTAGTAGTAAGTTGGGGTTTGCTACCACTTCGAAATGTCTATTAGCCAAACTATACGCGGAGCAAATGTCACAGTATCACATATCTTGACATCATCTCATGTCATGAAACCGCTCTTCAGCTTCTCAAGCATCTAGAATTCCCCCTTCCGGAGAAGAGCGATTCCTAGTCTCAGGCAAAGCAGGGATACGGCGAGGGTGCCCCAGGAGGCTCGAGTCAAGAGGTCGAGGCAAATGCTACCATCTCACTTACAGTACCATGGCGAAGACTCCACCGCCTGTGGCTCCCCCGATCTTTCACCTGTAACAGCCATTTCAAATTTAACACGAGCACTTCTACTGACCGCCTCAATGATCATCCAGAGCCAGCTTAAGGCTGGGTCGATTTCCCGCTCTGCAATTTCGAATCTAGAACAGGCTACCCTGGTTTGGGTCCAGTTTCAGCACAATGTGAGAACTGATCAGTGCTAGCCATGGATTTCGTCAAGAATTTAGCCCATGCAATTGCGCATGAGATGTATTGTGTAGTTGGCTCCTTATCTGGCAGTCGTTATATTATTTGACGTTTTTGACAGTGTCTCTAGCGCGTAAGACCATCTCCCCATCTATAAGACACACACACAAAAAAAAAAAAAACCACAACGGGTAGTGCTGCAACTAGCTCACCACAAACCCAGCATGAGGCTCAACCCCAAAACACCCTCACAAAGCCCACATTCTTAAATCTCACGATGGGTACAATCAAGATTGATAGATGAATAACGCCTTCAGCTTTTTGAAGATCATGAACAATTACAGACACCACGCCACGTGCCAAGCGAGAAAAAGATCAGAGCTCAACTCCACGTCCCACGAGATGTGATGCCCTCTTTTCTTCTCCATCAAGATACCGGCGGAACCGACTTCGTTTAAGCCGAGAAACTCCACGATGAAAATGGTCTCGTGAGAAGTATTATGGATCAACCTCCAGCAAACCTACGGGGGAGGGGGGGGGGCATATTGTATACTACTACTACCGGTATATTACAGAAAGAGGAGACTCCGAATTCCGTCTTCCGGGAACTTGGTCGATGGAGAAAGCAAAACTCGGTCACCGCCGATAGCCAGCAAATCAGGCTCCTTCCTAGCAAAACGTTGCTCTTCTTTCATTCCATTTTTGATCTATCACATAATTTCCTCTCCAACCTAGCTGTAATTTCTTGCAGTAGCTTGTCTGGAATGCAGGGCACTCAATCGAGCCCTCTCTCCTCATGACTCGTTTTCTCGCCTGGAGAGAGCCCGCCATGCCCTTTACCGAAGAAGATTACAGCTTCAATATTTACACTATCTCGTTAGTACTACCAGGGTCGTGGAGCTGTCAGAGCGATAGCCGCAGCTATACCAGCTCGCTACGTAGTTAATCCTCGGCCGCACCAAGAAGCCGGTTCCCTCCACTCCAGCTCTGTTGTCCATTCGACAAGGCGTTGTGGATAGATAGAAGAGCTGTAGTCGGACCGCTGCTCTCCAGCTTGGTCTCCCCGCACTATGGAGCAATTTTATATAGTACTACTAAACACCAATAATGATGGCGAATTCCAGGGGTTTGCACCGAGCGCCTGGATGCGCTCAGCTTGATCGGCGAACACAATACGGATACTCGCCACCTTTCGCAAACGAGGCTGCGCTCTGGGGTTTGAGGCCATTCACAAGAGAGAGGCCCCCATTGTGGTCAGTTTGTAAAGGAATATGGACATCCCCCATATGTTGCGGGGAGTTTACATCCTTTCCGTCTCCACGCCAAAGGAGGAATTTATATAGCTTTCCCTCTACCGAGGCTCTGTCAAACTCAAGAAACAGCAGCCCAGCATCCTGTCCTGCTCCCAAACCCGGGAGAGAAAAAGAAAAGAAAGTCCACCGCTAATTAACATCTAACAAGCATTCCTCCGTCGCAACCACAACGGGTTTCTACGGATATGGCCTTAGCCGGGGACTCCTTGAATGTGTGATGGTCAGTGCTTTCAAAAAGCATGAAAAGCACGAAAAAGTGTAGCAGCGATACCACCTTTACACGCGCGTGCAAGGAGAGAGAGGCAAAAAAAAAAAAGGGAGACTGTGCGCGCCTAGATATTAGTGAATTCTCCGCACTTCCTAATGCGGTAGGTAGGCTGTCGCTCACTATGGACTGGGACGGACGCCCTCTACCTATTACTTATTAGCTATTACTTATTATAGGTATCACGCATACTGTACTATGTCATAGTTACTGTGTATTACGAGGCACAGCCGGCCGTCATCGAGATGGCTGCGCTATCCTAAGCCTCTACCCGTACCGCCAACGGCGACTACTACCCGTCGTAGCATGCGTGAAGTGCGGTATACGAGCAGACAGCACCTCTTGGCATCTGATATATGATCAAAGTCATACTCGTAGCAGTATGGGCAAAATCAATAGTTGCAGCACAGCAGCCACGTCCTATATTATCCTTCATCTCAAATAACCCTTTCTACACGGGAACTGTCTCAGATCAGCTCTCAGCCCCAAGACAAGCATCCAAAAGTCCCATAATGGCTCATCCGTGCATGCCAGTACCGCGACGGATATTTTCTCTCTTTGTTTGCCTCCTTCACCTTGCATTTCCCCCCTGCTTTCTTGACTTCTTTTCTCCCTTCCCCCTGTCAAGCCAACGATTAGTGCTGGTACCTGCGTGGCCCACGCAGCTCTTTGCTTAGCTTCTACAACGGCGGCTTGAGTCCACCTAGCAGGGATACAGGGCTCCGCACGGCGAGAGAGGGCACTTCGCCGAGGCGAGAGAGCGTACATACCGTGCAGGTATTTTACCCACGATTTGCTGGTTCAGCATTGAAATCCTTCCGTTTAAGCTTTAAACCTGGGGCAGCTTGTGACTGTGACACGCGTGTGATTTGCTATTTCTTAGTAACTGATACCTCTATAACAGCCAACCTCTATCAATACCGCTCCTCCATATTTAGTTATTAAACATTTTTTTTTTTTCTTTT